TTTAGGGTTTAGGGTGGGGGGGGGTTGAGGTTTAGCGTTTTGGGCTGGGGAGTTTGGTGAGATATTCGTTCTTGTCGAGTTTGTCGATGCATGACTGCTGCCCGGAAGGCGGAATGAAAAAGCACCGACATGGGTATTGCAAATAGTCCTGAATGTAGTTGCTTCTAAACTTGAACCCGCCCATAAACCCCAAACCCTAGACCGNNAGACCGTAAACCCCTAAACCCCTAAACCCTAAACCCTGAACCAGAAAACCCTGAACCAGAAAACCCTTAATGAACTCAAGGCTGACTTCCCTGGCCTAGGGCTCTGGTTTAGGGTTCAGGCGTTTAGGGTTTTCGGGTTTAGGACCAGAGACCGGTGTCCTGACAGAATCCTCTGACACGCCAACAGCACAATGCGATTCGAGAAGGAGCCGTACCGGCGCCTAAGCCCCAAACCCCAAGCCCTAAAGCCCACAAGACTTGCATGGAACGGCCACGAATCACAATCTGGCTCCGAGCGGAATAGAGTCCCAATCCCCGAAACCCTAAACCCTACACCCCTGGACCCTAAACCCTAAATTCCTACATACCTTGCCAGGCTTTGTCCGAGTGTGAGTGTCAAAAAAATCCGCAGTTGTAGCATCCTGCACCCCGACGAGTTGCATCTGAGAGACCGGAACCGTCCCAGGACCCCCCGAGTGCCCTTTTATATCAGGGGGCTCCAAGGGTTTAGAGTTTAGAGTTTAGGGTTTAGGGTGGGGTGAAGGTAGGTGGGGCTATCTCAATTTTGTTTCAGGGATGCTTAATCCTACCTACCTTCATCCCACCTTTTGAGGCCTGCACTAACAGAGCCCGGGGGAGCCTTCTCCCAAAGCCCCCCGAAAGTCCTAAACCCTATAGGGTTTAGGGTTTAGGGTGTAGTAGAAGTTAGGGCTTAGGGTTTAGGGTGTAGTGTATAGGCCAGTATGGGCTTAAGGTATTACCCTCTATCCTAAACCCTAGCCCCCGCCCTCCGAACAAAAGAAGTTGTACCCTGTACCCTAACCCCTGAGCAAGAAACAAGGACTAGACGCCGGAACCCTAAACCGTTAGCCCCAAAGTCCTAAATCCTAAACCCTTTACCAGAGATACCCTAACCCACAAGCCCCTAAACCCTAGACCCTAAACCCCAAGCCAAAACAAGCAGAACAGACATTCCGCGGCCGTGGCGAAGCCATGGTTCGCATCCGCATCGATACGGCAGAGGCCCTTGCAAGACACCAGTCTGTTCCTCCAGCCGCTCGCCTTATCAGCTTTGGTGTTAGGATTCAGGGTTCAGTTTTGTAGTTGCACACCACATTCCACAGCCGCATATTCTTGGAAATCGTGCCGGAATCTTGGCTGCTTCGAGTGCAACGTTTTGCGGTGTCATGAGCACACAGCATGTCTCTTCAGCAAAGCCGCTTCGGTATCGGTGCTTGCGTGTCGGCCTCAGTCAGGAATGTGACGATTGCAGGTCGTGGTTTGGCTAGACTTGAGTCCACTAGCGAAAAGGGTTTACTATGGGGGCCTAATCAATTACCCATACTATTTGGGGGAGGTTCCTTATTATAATTATAGTATAACCAGCCCCAAAACCTTATTCTAATTATCAAGGCGCCTGCATTAATTAGGGCTGCTCGCGTCATCTGGTTATTGGCATGAGGGTTTTGCTTTTTTTTTGTCGGGTTCAGGATTCGATGATGTGCGTTGCAATATGGAACCCGTTCTTCGGCCATGATGCAATCTTCTAGGTAGGGTTTAGGGTTTAGGGTTTAGGGGCTTTTGCAATCTAGGGCCAGTCTAGTGTCGAATCAGTCACCTCAAGTGCCCATGCGGGTGGGCGGTTGTCTTGCTGCTCGTTTTTTCGTGGAATACGGCCGCAGGCCTTTCTGGATCTCACGTGCCGGTGATTGTCCATGAAAGCCACAGCCGTTAGTGAGCCGCATTTGCGGGTACTGCCAAGCAGTTTCGATCTCAGGACTTTTTGTTGTGTTTCTTCGATGAGTTAATCTGCAGTACGTAGAGCCCTTACATAGAGAACCCGCCCTAACTTATACAAATTTAGGGAGCCAGCGGAATGCCCGGAAATTGGAACGAGGATCGCTGGTGCATCACCCATGCGGACTTGAACTGCCTGCGGCAGGAGCCACGATTTGGATAGCTGACGTCTGCACCCTAGGCTCACTGCAAAGAAGCAAAAGTGCAGCTTCAGAGTCTGCAAGGATCCCAAAATCGGAATTACATTCAGCTCAGACTAGGGGTTTGGGATGGTACGCTTCGGCTATTTCCAACTCTCTGTTGAGGAATGACAGGGCCTCCTATAAACGCGCCCGAACAAACCTTGAAACCTAATGTTTAGGAAACCCTCAGATGCCATAAAACAAAGAAAACATCACTTTCGGATCCGCCCAATCGAACCCCGACACCGGAATGAGGTGAAGTCAGGTGCCCCTCATCAAGAATAATGAAGTAGGTTTAACGTTGAGGTTTAAGGTTCTGCAATCAAAGTCATAGTCAGATTGGCCGCATTCGCAACAGTATTCTGTTCATGCATGCAATCTTGACTTTGCACGCATAGAACTCTTATGATTATATCATCACCCAGCCGTGAACCCAGGAGTGGCTACGCAAAGATTATCTACTGTAGGGCCCAAATAATTACCAATACTATTCCTCAGGGTGTCTTATCATCAAGTTACCGTAGTTTACTACAATGTGCCCCAAAACCCTCTGCTAGTTAGTACTGCCCCTACATCAGGTGCATTTTCCGCCGAAGGGTTCAATCTCGAAAACGACTGTAATGCTACGGGCTATGTATAGAGTTTAGGACGCCAGAGACAAGTAGGCGATGGTTAAGCCCAAAACATGTCTACATTACATTCGACGCACGGTGGCTGTTGATTCGGGAATGCGGCAAGGTGTATGAACGCTTGACTTTCCGAGCCGTTCGGAGAGCTTTAATCCTTCTCTGGGTTCTTGCTAAGGGGTTTAATTGAAGTTGCCATAATAGGGATCTATAGTGAACCATATGGTTTCTTGATGATGATAACTTTAATCAAATCCCTTGACAAGAACCCAGTTCTGGGTTTGTGTGCATTCTGTCAGTTGAGAAAGTTTGGGCTCCCGAAACATTCCTGGGTCGCGTAGCGGCTTGACTACTGGCCGCTGAACAGGGTTTAGTTAAAGAAACCGGATAAGTAGCTGAACAAAGATGCGGCAGCATCAACATCATCAACTCATTATTTCTCAGCAATCAACCCTTTCATCTTTGTGAGAAGCGACTTCCGGCAAGGAGGTGTGGCATGCCATCCAATGTGGAAGCATCCGACCACCGGAAGATGGCACCGACGATTTCCTGGACGGTCATGAGCAGTGCGGGCAGATTGGCCCCAGCATCTACACAGTCAACGCACAGCATATCATGCCAGTAACAGAGCAGGCTGGCAAGATGAGCTGGGCTTTGATGCGACACCCGGATGGCTTGGATTGCCATCTGTTCATCAGCCACGCCTGGCAGGAAGGTGTCTTCGAATTTCTGTCCAAGGTGCTGCACTCCTGGCCAAGGCAAGCTCGCCACGCCTGGTGCTGCATGTTGGCCAATCCACAAAACCTGGACATCGCTGCATTGCTGCAGTCTCCTCGGAGTTCACCGTTTGCACAGGCTATTCGAGCCTCCACCTTCGTTCTCGCGGTGCCCAACCGCCGCAGCAGCATTTACACGAGGCTCGGAACTGCCATTCTGTGCCTGCAGATAGCTCACCGCCACCAGGGTATGCATGCACCACCTCGAAGCTTTCACCCGATTTTGCATGACAAAACTGTGTTCTGTCGGGACTTGATGTCAACAGCTTGAAAAATCTGATGGGGACGTTGTCATTGAAAGATATTGTTATTTAGTAGTACATTGTGGTAGGTGCTTCAATTCCACTACCAGGAGTTGTTGTAGTGAGCAGTAGTTGTAATGGTAGTACTGCTGTGGTTGTTGTTGTGGTGGTAGGAGTAGCAGTAGCAGTAGCAGTAGTGGTAGTAGTAGTAGTAGTAGTAGTAGTAGTAGTAGTCGTAGTAGTCGTCGTCGTAGTAGCAGTAGTAGTAGTCGTCGTCGTCGTAGTAGTAGTCGTA